TAGACTGGTTTCACAAATACATTGTACATAACCCCCCAAAAGTACATTATACTAGTATTCCGGAAACAAGATTTGACGTTGTGCAGTTCTGACAGCTAATTTTTGGTATAGAAACTTGTCAAGTAAAATTACTAATACAAGAACAAGTAGTTATCAAAATGTCTTCTATTGTTCAAAATATACGACATGGGATGGGAAAAGTCTGTTTTTTGGTTTTTTTTTCAATATTAATGGAACTCCCTAACAAACAAAAAATATGATCAATGTTATGATTTCATCTTTTCTATTGGCACCTTCCCTTATTAGTCCTCTACCGGTGAAACCGAGGGGTGGGGTGGGGGTGGGGGGTTTCTTCTGAATCTGTCTAAACTAGCTGTCTGTTCCTCTGTTTGCCTGTCACACTTAGTTCTTCTTTTAAACTCATAAATTAAAAGGACAGAATAAAATAACACTTTTAGTATTACAGCAACTACAATACAATAGCTGGGCACGTTGTTTCAGCTGATTTTAATATATCTGGTAGTTGAAAATGAAGACCTTAATATTACTAGAAGCAATCATCGTAAAAGGTCCTAAATGCACGGAGCCCCGATCCTTCAATTAGCGACAGAACTTCATTTCCTGCTTTTGAATGCTGTTGAAGACTACAAATGCTAAACGTTGGGCTGAATACACGATGTAAGATCTGAACACTTTGTCAGAATGGATTAGGTGCTTAAAAAATATCGTATCGGGAAATAAAAAGACAAAATGCAAATCACCATTCCTTCCCTTTTCAGCTGGAATCAATGGTAATAGAATGTAGAAACTATATTCAGAATGTTATGGTTCGAGTAGGCAAGACTTGTAATGATATCTTATTATCTGGTAAAGCTCATTATTATAATTACTCCCAGTACTTTTTTTGGGGGGTGGGGTGGGGGTGGTAAATTAATCCTGCGTCTGGAAACCCTACATATCCTCACAGTTCACTTTTCAAGGATGAGATTCTTCAAAATCACATTTCTGTGTTAAAATACTTTTACCATTTCTAGACAAGGTGAGTTCGAACTACCCTTCTTATACTGAATTCCATCACTTCAAAAAAAAATCTTTACAAAGATACATCACCTAGACCTGCAAATAAACTACCGGGACCTGCAAATGCACTACCAAGATATTAACTGCTGTGAAGGAAAAACGTATCTTGCTACTTTATATTCTAGAAGTGGTGAAAATCACTTAAATCCTCATAAGCTCTGAAAAACTTTTAAAAATTTAAAATCACTATTGTTCAAA